GGGCCCCATTGAACTGAGGAGGGCTGCTGCTGGGGCCCATAGGGCCGTTACTGGGCAGGAACCAGCCACCAACTGTTGGAGGAAGACATGCGTGTTAAATGTGCTGTAAAACAATGTTTTAGTTGTTCGGGGAGTTTACTTACGTTGCGAGTATCCAGATTGCTGGTTGTCAGTGCTGTGGTCTGGGACATCCTTGTGATCACTTCTGTTGACGTGACAGCAAATAATGTCCAGTTGCAATAATGTTAATAAGTACATAATAAAATCTAAGTGAATGGCTTTTACAGAGAAATTATTTCTAGTGATTGTATTTTTTATTGTACCTTTCTTTGGCGTCCAGGAATGCTTTGGCGAATGGGTTGTGCTTGATCTTCAGAGCGGTGATCTGAAAATTAATAAGAGAAAAATGTTCTTCATGCAACATTTGAAAAGGCTGAGGATGCATCTCAGGCTTTATTCAACAAACACTCACCTCTTCATTCTGATAAGCCGTGACTGCAATAAACTGAGTGTCGGGAAAAGACTGGCTGCTGATCATTTTCTGGATCCCACCAACTTTCACTATGTGAATCCTGGGCTCGTATTTGTGCAAGGAGTTCAACATAATCTAAAAAAGAAGAAAAATAAAAAATAATAATTTCATAAGCTATCTACGGAATATAATTTCATATTTTAAATCATTAAATCAAACTACTAACACAAACTGTATACGTTTTTAATTATTTATTTCATGGTTGAGAACTAAAGAGTTTCATTACCTGTCCGCCTCCATTGAGTTTATTGGAGAGTTTGACTTTGCTGAAGGAGATGTGCGCTTTCATCCAGTGCGCGCCGAAGTTGGGTGAGTCTGGATGGATGTAGACGCAGCTCGGGCTCTGAGGCTCGGGTTTGCCGCCCGGCACCCATTCACCATTCACATATTTCCACCGATTATTATCGGCCGCTACAAAGTCCAGCAGGACCGAGTACATCGCGTTGGGGTCCAGACCGGTGACACTGGCTTTGAGCACGGGAAACATTCGCCTAGAAGATGAGACAAAGATTAGTCAAATACATCTGAACAGAATTCACATGCATGAACTCGACGGGAATAATTAACGTGACAAAACTAGACCGCTAATAAATGATCGCATCCACAGCGACTTAGCGATGACTGACTAAAGTCTATCAGAATTTCACTGACTCTCTTCATGATTTTTTAAAATGTGTTAGATTAGGAGCATTACTAATGCAAAAAAGCTACATTTGTTTTCTTTAATTAAAAGGAAGTGTTTTAGTGCATCTGTCGTCAAATCTCAATTTACCTTCCAGTCTTAGTGACTATCATTTCATTAGTGAGCTCTTTAAATTTGCTCCATAACTCCGCGTCTTCTAGGGCAAGTTTAATATCCCGCTCGAGCGCGTCGCCCTTCTCGCTGCCCTCCTGAAACTCGCTCTTCACGGCGCTCAGGAGGTGCTCCAGGCGCTGGTCGGGACTCGAGGAAGACATATTTCCGATCAGTTGAGATAAATCCGAGAGCACTAAATCCCGTGGGGCTGCGATGCTGTGACAGCGCGTCTCAATCTGCGCTTTTTTAACGCGCCCGGAGCCTTTTTAAAGGCCCGATACTGAGCTCCTGCTGTTACGGGGCGGGACCCGGAGGCGGGACCAGGCCCATCGCGCCCTAATAGCGCCCGATAATTTGTCGCCACAAAACGGAAAGTATTTTTGACTTACATAGAGGCCCATTACAAAGTGTTGAATTGTTTGAAAGTCTATAGTCAATGAAAACGTTTAAGATAAATAGGGCAAATAATTAAGCAAAAAGAGGAAAATTACATTATGAACAAAGTATAAGCACAACTGTAGCCTAATAATTAATTGATTTGAAATAGTTCTCATTTATTGGGAATAGGCTAGTTTAAATACATTTCTTATATTTTTTACATATTTGCGTTATTATGATCATGATTTCATATTTTCCA